TCCCTTTATTTAGTATTATATGTTTTACTATATTCTATATTATATAACTGAGATATTTATTTATTATCATATATTTTTATTATTATTATAAACTATATTCATCATTTTTATTTATTATTATGTTTTTGTTATTTTATTATTATATATTATATAAAATATGTTACATAACTGAGATACGCTTTTGCCTTTCTAGCGTAACCATGAGTCAGAGCTACAGAAGTCTACATCTGGCTCTGATATTTCCGCCCAGGTGTAGCCGTCTATAATAGCGGTGTACTGTACAGAATCAATTAAATATAAGTCTACACACCTTCGCCAAAAGCACATCACTAACAAACTCGTGATTTTTAACGCTGGTACACTGCAACCCTTGTCAGAGGTGGAGACAAATGGTTTTCAACATCTACTGGCAGCCATGGATTCTCAGTATTTTCTTCTCAGTCGCAAGTGCGTCCACAACATTGATCGAGAGCAGGTTTGACAAAGTCCAACAATAAGTTCTCTCTCTCAATTGCAACTTGTACCCAACATTAATGTCACTGTGGATATCTGGAGAAACAGATAAATGCACAGCTTTTTTTGGAGTCACTGGTAATTTTATACTTGACTGGAAAATGCAAACAGTCATGCTGGCATGTCGGCATTTCAAGGAGCGTCACACATCTGATAACTTTGCAGCTCAATATGATGAAATAATAAATATCTTTAACATCAACAACAAGGTGTCATATGTGACATCTGATAACGCATCTAACTTCATCAAGCTTTCTACTTGCCTGGATTCGAACCACAAACACTACGTAATGTAAGAGATGGTGATAGCTCATCTACAGCTAGTGGATCGGAAGATGAACATTTGGATGAATCTACATCAGCAGAAAATTTCCCCTAATTTCTTTTTGAACATGACCCCTGCTTTTTCCACACGCTACAGCTTGTGGTCAGAAATGGCATGAAAAAAGCTAGGCCACTGCTGGATGTAATTTCTAAAGCATCAGCCATCTTGTTCTACATTCGGAAATCAGCACAAGCAACTGAACTACTTGAGGGAGAGGTCAGAGTTCAGTCAGTAACACCAATACGATGTAACTCAGAAATGAAGATGATTAAGTCTTTATTGAAGATGCCCCAGGAGAAGTTGGATAATCTAGATATCTTGAAGATTCACCAGGAGAAGTTGGATAATCTAGATATATATTGAAGATTCCCCAGGAAAAGTTGGATAATCTATATATATTGAAGATTCCCCAGGAGAAGTTGGATAATCTAGATACTGGTACATCAAAACTTACTTTTCATGATCAAACTGTGCTTGTATATTTCGTGACAAGACTGACATTTTTTGAAATTTCACCCAGGGTCAGAACACTGTTACCTGCAGTTATGTAGTGCCATGTGTTTATTGGCTGATGACTGAGAATGACAGCATGCAATCTAGATATCATTTCAATCTTATCTCTGCACTGAAGAAATCTGTTTACGCCCGGCTGATTCCGTATGAGGAACGAAGTGTCTTCTGATTGACTGCGGCATTGGATCCCAGAATTACACTTGACTGGTATTTCACTGGACCTATGGTCTATGAATGTAATCGAATGCTCCTGCAGCAAGAAGCCAAGAAAGTTTCCTCAACAAATAACCCAATAACCATTGAACCAAAAAGAGAACTTTAAATCCCCATAGAAAAAGAAGTAAGCTCATTATAATAAATAATTAAAAACAACGTTTACTATTTACACAATCAAAACTTTATTGAAACCGTACGGCTTCCACTTTAAAACAACACTCTTCAAGTACTAGTTTCGACATGATCTCCGTCATCTTCAGGAGTTATTTACAAGCCCTACTTTATGCTTTTACCCCTTTTTCCTTCACTATTATTTACATATTTCCTTGGTCTAATTTTTATTTATTATAATATATCTCGCCATATATCAACATATTAACTTGCTGGTCCTTCATCTCTATTTAGTACTTCTTTTTGTTTTTTATATTTCATTGTTTCTAATGTTTCTCTAATATTTAATGCTATAATATTACGAGGTTTAGCCAAAATTAAAGTTTTTTTCCCATAATATTGTATGATGATTAGTTTTCACATGTTCGATTATAGTTAATATTTCTATTTCATTGGCCCCCAGTGGCACAGCGGTATGTTTGAAGACTTACAACACTAGAAACTGGGTTTCGATACATGTGGTGGGGAGAACACAGATAGCCCATTGTGTAGCTTTGTGCTTAACTTCAAAAAAACAAATCTATTTTATTATTTCTTATATAACCTTTATGTTCTTGCAATCTGAATTTTTAATTTTTTTTAGTTTGACCAATATCAATACCACCATATTCACATTAAATGCTTGTTTTATCTGTTAATTTTATTTCATCTTTAGTATTCCCTATTATGTCTTTTACCTTATTTATTGGTTTGAAGACAAGATAAAAATTCTGATGCTTTTCAAATACTTTATGTAATTGACTTGTTAAACCTGGAACATAAGGTAAACTTAGTTTCTTTTTTGTTTTATTTTTTCATAAATATATCTTAATGTCGTATTTTTAACTGTCTTTACACCTTTGTTAAATTTCTTAAGTGTTTTGTCTACTATATTTGGTTCAAATCCTTTATCACCAGCGATATACTTAATTAATAACAATTCGTTATTTAAATCTTCCTGTCTTGAACATATTTTTAAAGCTCTATAAATATACGTGTAAAATGCAGAGATTTTTTTTTATTTTTATGTGACACGATTCTTTTAATATTACACAAGTACCGGTAATTCATATTTAGAAGTAAGCTCTTTAATTTCTTTGCTGCATCCAAGAAACCAGATCAACACCTACCTCGACAGTCCTTGCATTCCTGAAGAAAGCAATCCTCTAGATTATTGGAAGATCCCTGAAAAAATTTTCCTACCATATCTATACTATCCAAACGCTACCTGAATGTCCCAGCATCCTCTGCGCCCGAAAAACTTTGTTATTGTATTTTTAAAAACAAAAATATTGAAATGTTATTATTTGTTAAAATGTTGTTTGTTTCAGTTTCTAAAAAACAATTGTTTCATAAAATAAAGTATTGAAATATTATCATTATTGCATATTACCCGACAAAGTATTCATAAAAATTGTTTCATAAAATAAAGTATTGAAATCTTATCATTATTGCATATTACCCGACAAAGTATTCATAAATGTATTAATGAATACATTCTTCTCTATTCGTATTTGAATACTTAGCATTTGTCCTGTGTTCGTATTCGATCACTGATCTCCAGTATTCGCCTTTCCCTGCTTCAACAAGATGACAAGCATATTACCTATTACACAACATGCTTAAAAGATGTGTAGCACACAAAACAAACAGTCAGCAAGCTACTAGTTCAAATGTACAAGGAACATATATATATATATATTGTATCATTAAAGGTACCTGTAAGTTGGCAGGTTTAATCCTCGCATTGTCATAGATACGTTTGATCTGTTCGCTGTTGAAATTGGATATTCCAATTGCCTTGGTCATCTCTGCATCTACAGCATCTTCCATGCCCTGTAGTAACAGAGAAGTTTAGGAAAGTATTTTAAAACTGCTACATTAATATAAGTCTACACAATAACTATTTAACTACAAATAACTCATGCTTTTATTATCTATCAATACTGAATACCTACAATGAGGTATCAGAAATTACTGATAACTTATGCTTTTCATATTATCTTTAGAAATTGGATACCTACAATAAATTTTTTCACAGGAAACACTGTGATCTCTACCAGACGTGAATTTATAAATAGAACGGTATTACAAATTCTCGAATGGAGATTTGGCTGAGTTCTAGATGAAAGATGTTCACAATTATATAGACCGATCGTGCTAAAATATAAATATGCACATGGTTTATTCCTTCTAATATGCAAGCTTTGAATATTACATTTATTTCAAAACTCTCTTTATTCCAACAGATAGCCCATTCACCTAAAGAACAAGTGTTTCATGGAAGTGCCTTAGATATTCTTCTCTTTCCTTTGAGTGAATGAGAAATACGAACATGAAAATCAAAGGGCAAATGTATCGAAGATTTTTACGTCTAACACCTTTTAAATGAGTTCATTGTTATGGCAGTTCTCACGAAGCACAAAAATTATTCAATTTTAATTTAATATGACAATGTTATATTTTCAAGTAACTGAGTCTGAGCCAAATTATCGACTAAATTTTGCAGAAAGTGACAGATATTTAACATTATGAAAATTGGCATTCACGTTTTACATGTTCACCAGTTTCACTTAAACACTTGAACATTTTTAACTAAATAATTTGCAAAGTACTTCATAAAGAATACATTTTCTCACTTTGGCTTGTTTTAAAACTTTTATCAAAGCTACACAAGGGCAAGTGTAGATACCTATTCCTAATTTTTAACTGATAGACTAGAGGGAAGGCAGTCAATCAAACTGCACCCACCATCAACTCTAGCGAACTTTTGTCTGAATTTGACTATCTTGGGGTTCATTCATTGCCAAAAAATAAATAAAAAATACGAGCACATTTTTGTGGCAACGTGAAGGAAACCATGAATCTTCGTATTCACAATTGGGACATACTAACCATTTGGTCACACCGAAAGTAAGGTTTAAACAGTTTGGTAGATGGTTTTTACATTGTGCCCAGCTTTCATTCTTATTCAGAGACATTCAGAATACTCTCTAATAAATATCTTAACAAATCTCTGTTATTCAATGAACCTATCCCACCTCTCTAAGAGAAACCAGTTTCATCTGGAAATAACACATTATGAATAATATTGAAAGTATGCACTAACAATGTCTGATATGCCACTACTCTTTCTTACCTTCCAAGTGTCCAGAAAGTCTGCCTCATAATCTATAACCAGCTTTCCATCTTTTATTGGTAATTGCTCGTTACCATCTAGCGGCTAAGAAAGCAACACAATAACCAGTTCTTTATTTCATTGTAATGCCATATCTTGAGAAGAAAATAAAATGTTTATCAGTTAGATTCTGATACACATTTAATTAATCAAAATTCAATTTGAAACTTTGTTCAAATACATAATGTTTTGCTTAAAAGTTGTATGTAATCATAATTGAGAATATGAATAAAAAAGAAATAGTTAAATATGTCCTTAAAGAGGATGAATGAATGACTTCCTGTAAATTCTGACCCTATTTATATGAATGTAAGACCCTAAAAATAGTTACTTAATGAGGAAAATAAAAATATTCACCACATTTATGATAAAAACTGAAATATTTTCAGCTTTGGGCATGAGTAATATCTTGCTTCTATTAAGGGCAGTCTAGTAATGTTTATACAAGATTTTAAGGATTTATTCCCAGCATAAGAATAGAGGACAGGCTATCACAATTCTCACAGAATGCTATGGTCAAAAAGTCTCTCACATATGGATATACACACTTTAAACATATCTTTAAAATGTTCAATGCAAATGTAAAATTATAATTTTTTATACTTCTAAGAGGTAGTAAACTCTTAAGAATGAATCTTTTTATTTTTTTTATTATTTTATGCCATATGAATGAAAGTGACATTTTTATAGACTTTTGTGCCCTAGATATGAAGTAAAAAGTTACGAGGAAACTGGAATATCAATAATTTTCATTAACAAAACATCTCAATCAGCTGGTCAATACAAATTATATGTTAAGTGGAAACAGAGACTAATAGAATTATTGAAATAATCCAAAAAGCTAACATTTTAGCATCAATAACATATTATTGTCAACTTCCAAAATGTGGAGTAGAAACAGAATAAACTGTTAAGAAACATTATTTAAATAAAAGAATAATAGATGTGCTAAAACAATTCAGCAAACTTTGCATTTTTTTATCGAAAGAAGCAATCAGCTTCATCTCATGAATATCAAAATGGTTACTTTATTGTTTTCACGACTAGGTTTTTACAGACACCTAGTTACATACCAGCTTCACCAATGCTATTTTTAGAATATCATATCTAGGTGGTATCACACTGTCACTATGAGATCTTCTAATAATAAAACTTAATAAAATGCGAAAAATCTTGTATCTTTCACTAAATTAAAATCCTGGTAAAGTTACAAAATATCAGGTGAATGCAATTTTAAAATGTGCTTTGAATAAAATTTAGAAAAAAGATCTTAACAGTTTGTATCGTATATACATCCCAAATAAGACTTACACAATTTTTCACACAATAAAATTAATATTCAACATGATCATGCTGAAATATTTAAAACTCTAGATTACTTACTATAACACAAGTAAATATTTCTCAATTTTTTAGCAAAACAACTTTTTATATTTGCAAAACTCACCACAACACTGAAAGGAGAATGAACTAGATACATGTCAACATAACTCAGTTGAAGGTCATCTAACGACTGTTGAAGGTAATGAAGGACTTTGTCTCGATGATGCCCTCCATTTGGCAGCTAGAATTACAGAGACGTATCTAAAATCATCATAATTAAGCTAGAAGGAGAGGATATACTGTGGCCTAAATGGAACTGTTTAAACTTGTACAGAGACACTACTTCTTATTGCTATGTCCTACAGACCTATAGTGGGTAGTTCTAACCCATTAGATTAATACCAAAAGACTGTCTATAGCAGTTATTATCTCTTTGCTTTTCTAATTAAATGTCTTTGAAAACAGCATCATTTTAATTCTTCTGATATACGTTTACATATTCTTTGTGTCAGTACCTTCTTTCTTCATCTCTGGAGGCAAGTTCTGACCTTTAATTACCAAATCAGGACCAACAGTTGCACCCGCAGAACCAGTGCAGTTCAATTTACTGTACATTTTTAACTCAGTAAACCCATGGATGTAGGTGGTTTTCTTCAAATAATATATCTTTCATATTACTTGGGGTAGATGGAGTAATCCCAGATAAACTTTGCTATATATATTTAGCTCAATTTTGTTTCTTCGATATCTGATTAGTTCTTCGTTGTTCCTTTCATCAGATTTGGCTCTGTCTCCTTGTCTGAACTAAATTATGTATATTCAGATTACTCAATGTTTAGTTTAACATTATAATTATTGTTATTATAATTATATATAATTATTTTGTATAGTTGTTGTTTTCTGTTTGTATTTTTTATTCTTAATTATTTATTATGACTGTAACTTTTTGAATCAATAAAAATAAAGTTGTTGGTTCCCTACAGCCTCGGCTACAATAACCATGTTTTTCACAATTATAACAGTTTCCATTTCCTGGTATCTTTTGTGAGGAGTTCTTATTCCATACAGGCTTTTATCTGCATTTCCAAGCAATATGCATTTTCAATTTACACTTGAAATATCTATTTTCTTATGGTATATATCCTCCATTCTGTGCGACTAGTTTTCTAACTAACACTTTCAGTTCTTCTATACTATCGTTAGGGGGGGGGTGTATTAACATTACTTGATCTGATGACGTCTTAACTTTTAAATGGTGTCTTTAGTTGTTCATCTGCGAATTTAACTAATTAATGTTCCATAATCATCTAGAGAGCTTTCTTTATAGAGGTAACCTACTTTTATTCAACCTAATTCTCTTATACTCACCTGTTATGGCATGTATGAATTTGTCACGTGCCAACAAATCTATCATTTTACGTGGATCATCCAGGTAAGATAATTAGGCAGGTATTTCCAAATCTTCTTTTCTCCATACCTTGTTCTCGAACTCTTGATACTTTATTCTAGTGTGGCAGTTAGGTAAGGAAGCTATTAATGCTTGATAGTTGTTAAAGCTCTCGGCTGGAAGGCCACATAATGTTGTTTCAGTGAAACTTTAGGCAGAGTAAACATAGTAGATTTGAGAACTTAAATCGACTGTAACTGTCTATTGAAAAAGGAGATGTCGTTTCAGTTTCTATACTATAGCCTTCTTCGGGTTTTCAGTAGAGAAGCCAAACGTAACATCTTTTTCTTACAACAGGCAGTAGCAATCGATGAAAGTTCTCAAACTGATTACTTAATATTGTCAGAATGATCCTTTAAATTGAGCATCAAGATGAATACCTTATTGTTCACTATTACACCCGTTCACCCTGGAAATTATTTCAAACTGAGCCTAATATGACTCCCATGGTACCTTTCCTTCACACTTTGTTGGTTTCTTGATTATGCTATGTTGTTGAAATGGCAAGCTAAGTTCTGGAACTGAATGAAGTATTGCAAGAAGGTTCTGCAGTAGAAAAGGCAGATGCGGAAAGAGATGTCGTTGGTTTGATATTTGCATTTAATACTTTTTCCAAATGTTTTATTCTCTCATTGATGTTCTTTTCTACCTCGTTCATCTTGCTTTTATGGTCATTTTGCTCATTACATATATCTTTTTGTTTTTTTGTTAATGTGTTTTTGTACATCTTCACATTTGTTGTTCTAATCCTTCTGTACATCTCCAATAATTTGATCTATTCTGTCTTTAGTCATTTTTTTAATTATTCCTTAAATATTATGTCTCCAGCTTTTAATTCCTCACCTTAAATATTATGTCTCCAGCTTTTAATTCCTCACCTTAAATATTATGTCACCAGCTTTTAATTCCTCACCTTAAATATTATGTCTCCAGCTTTTAACTCTTCACCTTAAATATTATGTCTCCAGCTTTTAACTCCTCACCTTAAATATTATGTCTCCAGCTTTTAACTCCTCACCTTAAATATTATGTCTCCAGCTTTTAATTCCTCACCTTAAATATTATGTCTCCAGCTTTTAATTCCTCACTAAAAATCCCGTCTCTTAACTCTTGGTCTTCGTTCAATTTTTGTAAATTTTTCTTGTTTATTTTATTATTCTATCTCTTTTATCTTGGCCTTCTTTTATTTTTCTGACTTGTTCTTCAAATGTTTGGCCTCTTTCTTTGTGGTTTTCTTTTAATTTCCTGTCTCGTTCTTCTTCACCTTCTTTTCACCCTTTCAAAGTTCCATTTTATTTTCACCAAAATAATCCATCCACTGATACCAGTGTTGAAATGTATTCTAATCTTGGGTGCGTTCTTTTGGATTACATGGTAAAAATCCAATCCGAACCTAACAGTAAAACCTCTATCTTAATTAGCTTTCATAGATGATCAAACACGTAACTCACCGAGTTTATGAACAGCATAATAGTCGTAAAGAACTCTCTACTAGCATTCATTAACTGTTTGACACTGAACTTATCCTCTCAATGAATATATCAGTTTGATATCAATAAATGGATCAAGGTACAATATCAATGTTTCTTTTATGAATAAAGCTAAATAAATATATTAGTATGCATTAGTATCACTTAAAAAAAAAACTAAAGCCAACCCTTAAGATAATACTTTTGTAAATAAACTAATTGATTGGTATTTCTATCACATAATCGTTGTTGAACTAACCAGCATAACAAGAAAATATTAATCATAATAATAATCGTACCTTAGACACAATGAAAATGTCTTCTCTTTTCAACTTTCCAGCATCAAATACCTTTTTTAAAGTTTTTCCAATCTCTTTTTCGTTTTTGTAGGCCCAGGCAGTGTCAATATGGCGATATCCGCAGTCAATCGCACTTTCAACTGCTACTTTTACTTCACCTTCTTTAGCCTAATATATAGGATAGAAATACACAAAAATAGATTAAAATAAAGTAATATCCAAACTTATTCTCTACAATTAAAATATCTTATTACCTGCCACGTGCCTAAGCCAATAATAGGCATACGAGCTCCATTATTAAGTTTAACATAGTGCGGAAACGATGCCATTTTATAAACTTGATCGACTTGCTATGAAATAAACCATCAGGTCTCTTATATTTGGTTTAGATATGTCCTTGAATGATTACGTTAAAAAAAAACGGAGTTGCTTATGTTGGAAGCGTGGCTTGTTCTCGACAACAGCAACCCAAAAAAAAAGGTGGATAACCTTAACCTTAATAAGGCCTGTTTGTTTGCTCAATCCATCGAACACCCTTCCAGTAGAGACACTTTTTCTAATGGTAGCATTGTGTGACCTTGTGCTTCACAAGAAAAAAAATCATTCTAAAAATAGTAAAAACGTACAAAAACAGCCAAGTTAGAATGAATATGTAGGCCACTTTTATATTACATTTACAGAATTTGCCTTTTATATATATATATATATGTAATTTTTATCCTTTTTTAACGCAGTGGCACAGTGTTATGTCTGCGGACTTACACTTTTTTGTTTCTGTACATGTAAAACGTGAAAAGTTAGTGATAGCATCCTCAGATCACGTACACCGATAACAGTATCATACCACATATGGAAGTGCAGATTATATAAAACAATGTATTCAACAATACGAGTTAATTAAAATTATAACAAATACAGATAACATTATATTTTCAACGTTATTTTATGCAGTAAAAACAAAATTCAATGTTGCAGTGTTAAACCGACAGTTGGAAAATCTATCTTTCGTCTGCAAACGTCGCTACCCATGAGACTTTTAGTTATCAGCATTTAAAATGTAAGTAAAAAAACTAATAAGTGAGAAATAGCTCAGAGGTTAAACATTATCCCTATTAGCCTGAGGTCCTGGGTTCAAGTCCCGCAGTCTCTTTTTCCCTTATTAGCTTTTTCATTAATAAATTGTTAAACTTTAGTGGCAATTGTTACTACAGAGTTAAATATAATATCTTATCAATCATTATGACATTATGACAAATAGTTTTTTCCATTTTATAGCTTCGTCTGAACTGCATTTGTATTGGATATATTCTAATTTGTATGCTGTGATGGATCGCTACGGTATGGCTGAGTTAAGAGAGTTGTCCTCTACTAGACACTATGCTAAACTTTATTCCATACAAGGCAATGACATCAAGAAATCCATGTCATCCAATGCTCTTACTTTATCGACTGCTACACTGGAACTAAATCATCCTACACTATCTTCTGCTCTCTTCACTGAAGCTGGTATTATGCTATCCTATGCTGAAGATACATCTCGCTCATCGCTTGCCTTTCTCCTTTTGTTATAACAGTATCAAACACTTTAACTTTAGCCATATCATCTTCTAAGCCTCATCCAGCCAGTCTAGTTTTGCCATTGGCTCGTATGGATACCAATTTTTTATCAAAATTGTCTGTGTTTTTATTCTCTCAAATGAAGTCTAAGTTCTGTTCGACATATACACACTTTTGATATTCCTAAATACTGTCTTTGAGAAGACATCAATTTCTACCAACTCGTAATGGAATGGTAGTTAAGATAAGTTCTGTTTGACACATACACACTTTTTGATATCCCTAAATACTGTATTTGAGAAGACATCAATTTTTACCAACTCGTAATGGGATGGTTGTTAAGATCTATAATTCTCAGCTATTTGACAAGTTTTGTCCTTCAGTGGGAATCACAAATTTATGCCCAAGTACTACCATCCAGAAGCTTGGATTCCCTTCTCTTACACAAAAGCTTACACATCGTCAAACTCCACGTTTTTATTTACTTGAAGACAAAATAGCAATAAGGCGAACAATATGTATTAATAATGCTCAAGGGCCAATTTTTATTATTTGTGTTTTAGCAGAAAACAGTGACGTAATTGACCACCTTCTTCAACATGTCGGCATGGCCAGGTGGTTAGGGCACTCGACTCGCAATCTGAGGGTCGCGGGTTCGAATCTCCGTCCCACCAAACATGCTCGCCCTTTCAGCCGTGGGGGCGTTACAATGTGACGGTCAATCCCACTATTCGTTTGTAAAAGAGTAGCCCAAGAGTTGGCGGTGGGTGGTGATGACTAGCTGCCTTCCCTCTAGTCTTACACTACTAAATTAGGGACGGATAGCGCAGATAGCCCTCGTATAGCTTTGCGCGAAATTCAAAACAAATCTTCAGCATGATGTTTTCATTTTTAAACAACGATACTGAGTGGGAAGTCTTAGGGCACCTCCACCCCAACCTTTGTGCTGCAAAATGTGCCTACGTTACAACGATCATCCAAAAACAAAGTGTATGGATCGTATCATACAGTGTCATATCATACATCATACTATCATCCTATCATACTGTATCATATCATACAGTGGACTAAATTCAACACATTTGCAATACCCGACAGCTAGACCATCTCACATATTTCAAATGCCAAGGAAAGCCACCACCTCCTCCAAAGCCTGATCATCACGTTACTGTAACTCCTTGATCATCCCGTTACTGGAACTCCTGTGGTTTCACTGATCCAGTTAGAATGACTTCAAACTCTCTCCCACAGAAGATATTCTCCGATTTATTAGTATTACTTTATAAAATATTCACCCATTTTTTAAAACCTACTGACATTTATAAATCCTAAAGAATTGTGTATCATGTAATTTACCATTGAGAACTGGACATTTATTAGTCACCACTTCCTCGGTCCGGAGACTCACTGGAAATCCTGAGGGCTTATAACACTCAAATACGGGTTTTGATTCCTGTAGTGCATACAACACAAATAGCTCAAACAAACAAGTTGAGATGTAACTTAGTTGAAAGGACGGCAACTGCCTGTTCTAGAAACACAAATGTAAAGAAAGACTCTAAGGTGAGTAACCTGTGGCTACCACTGGTTGAATCTACAAGAAGTCTCTCCACCAATCAGAAATAGAGATAAACCAACCAATCATAACACACTGTCCACAATCCACAAGAATACTATAAAAACTGACAACACCATACACACACTGACCTAAAGACAGTCATAGCACACTCTTCACAATCCACAAGAATACTATAAAAACTGACAACACCATACACACACTGACCTAAAGACAGTCATAGCACACTCTCCACGATCCAAAAGAATACTATAAAAACTGACAACACCATACACACACTGACCTAAAGACGAAAGGCGGAAGACTTTCGAAACGTCGTCCTCTACACTTGTGTTTCTACAACAGGCAATTATCGTCCATTAAACTAAGTCTCATCATGAATACTCTGCCTAAACAATCTATCAAAGGAGTTGGGGATGTGTTGCTGTTCTAATACTTTTCATAACGTAGTGTATTTGTCACTTTTATTGTTTTTCTGTTTTGCTTTGTTAAATATACAAGTATATATCATATTACTTTAAAATATCCCAGGTTTTATCGCAATGATTGATCCAACGAGGAGTTGTAGTAATCCCAAAATGCTCGAACCCAATAGTATTGAAAAACGTTTATTTTTGTTTCGTTTTTCCACAGTTTAATATTATATATGTTACATGTATATTTCTTGTGATGTGCTTATATTACATGAAGAATTGTTTTTTTTTGTCTATCATTATACAAGTCCTTGACTTCAACCTATCTGAGGCATATGTAAATCAAATGAATGCTTTAGATTATTTGAGTTTACTATTTGTCATTGTCAGGTAAGTTTATTATTAAGTATATTAATCGGGTTTTTAAACATTTAATTACTCTGATGGATACATTCGTGGTTACGAGTTGCGTGGATTCCACCCAGCCCGTATTCATAGGGTTAAAAAGAAAAACACAAAGCTACAGAATGAGATATCCACACTGTATCCGCAACAGGGAATCGAACCTAGAATTTTCTGGATTATAAACCCGTAAGTTTACCACTAAACCTGCAAGTGATGTAACGTTACGTAACAATTTAAAGATAATCGAAATACGTTTAATTTTTGACAAGAAATATGAACAGACAGGAAATGTTATAAGCAATATTTAAGCGTTTTTTAATTGGCAAAATTAATGTCTATATATTTTTTTCAAGGATAACAGAACATCCGAATTACCCCTGCAATATCCCAGATTCATTAAAGGAGTGATGAAGAATGATGATAAAGAACATTTGAGAATTTAATTTGGTTATTTTATCAAGATGTCATTCTTGTTTTGAAAGATTGGATTTTTTTAGAATCTAATAAAAAGAAAAAGGCATTTGTTTCATGTGCTTTTCCTTTCTTTTTTCATTAATTCGTTGCACAAAAAAGCACAAATAATGAATCTGTAATGGGGTTAACATTTGAGAAAATTGTATTATACAAAGTACTGGTATCTCTGTAGCTATAAAACTAAGTTTCATTATATTTATTAAGCATTTGAAACTTGTGAAACAAAATTTCCAGCATATGCCCCTTATAACTTCAGTCCAGTGGAAACGCCATGATGTATGATACTTGCATGTTATGACAGTTATTAAAATTGGCTAAAACATCTATGATTCAGGCCCTAATTTGAACTGTAGGCTAGAGGAATGACAACCAGTCGGCAGGAAAAGGCACCGAAAGTGATTAATCTTAACGTCATTTACTGTCCATCTTACTGTCAGCTTAAAGTGCGAGACATGTTTAGTAGCACTGCTTCTCGAACTCGGAGCCCGAATCTGATACGTTAACTGCTAGGGCTTGCTCGTGCCCAAGGGTAAAAAAGTATTTGTGACAGATGTAAAGTATTCTTTGTTGTAAATTATTTTATAGTTTTTTTTATTACTCTAAACACATACCCTGCTATAAAATAATATTACAATTCAGTGTAAAATAAATCCACTTCTTGTGGGAATGGTGTGTTCTGTCGGTAAGCACATAGTGAGAAGTTCAACAGTTCATATGCATGTTCTTAGACCTATAACCTGTTATTATAAAGCATGATAAAGAAGAGAAAATAGCCAACAACGATTAAACTTTTGACAGAGTTGTTTGTTTCTATAAAAATTGAAGTTGTTGAAGTAACTTAGTTGACTAATTGGTAGAACTGAATAAAGAAGAGTTCATTTCTAAGGTTTTAAGTTCCAAAACTGCCAAAGAAATTATACTGGATTACCTTGGATTGTTTACTATTATTGTGCTATTTTTTTTGTTTGATATTTTTGCAATCAAAT